CAAGACTCCACGTGGGGAGAGGAAATATATTTTTACCCAAATGCTTTATTCTTCCCGTGGCTTTGTGACTTGGGTTTGCTGTTGCCGTGGTGTAACGGTGTGACAGGAGGGGATGAGGAAACACGAGGTTTCCCAGCAGGTCATTTGTGGCTTTGAGATGCCTCTGTGGGTTCGTGCTGGTGTTTGTCAGTCGCTTTTTGTGGTGGTTGTGCTCTTGTTGTCCACATCAGCCGGTGTCTTGGGAGAGGTCCAGCCTCTGCTCCTCCGGTGTAGCTGGTCTGTACGGTGCCTCCCCAGAGCACTCTTCCCTTCATGCCTTACGTTCTTTACAATGTTGTGCCTCTTTTTTTCTCTCTCGCACTTTCTTCATTTCAATTCTGAACCTCTGTTTCTTTTCTTTTCTGTTTTTTTCTGTAGCTTCTTCTTTATGTAGCCATCATCTTGCCAAAGCCCCCCCACACTCTCCCAGTGGACAGTAGGGCACTGGAAGAGCCTGCGGCTGCGTGCCCCGTGCCAGGAGAAGAGCCATCTCATTCCTCCATCACGCCCGCCCTCCTCTCCTTCCCTTTTTGTTTCTCACCTGTGTGTCCGCGGGTGCGCTGTGCTGTGTGTCTGTGCGGGCTCTGTCTGCTCCTGGCACGTCTCCAGCAGAATTGAGGCTCCCAAAAATGGGCTGGAGGAGGGAGCTCGGCCGCACTGACATGTTGCACTGGGTTAGGTTTTTTTCTCCGTGTCCATTGTCTTTCCTTTTGCCGTAACGTGCGCACGTTGCTGATGGCAAACAGACCGATGGGCTGTGCGTGAGGGGGAGCGTGCATGGCCAGAGGACTTTGTTCTGCCTCTAAACCTCACGTCTGGCTGCTTTGGACGCCTCTCCTTCATCACCAGTGCGTCCTGCGCTCCTCGGACGTGCTGGAAATGAGTCCTCAGACCTAGCTGGCCTCTTGGGTTTCAGACGCGGTCACACGAAGCAGAGATGGCCGCTGTTGTGCACTGATGCCTCTTCTGGGTGGTCAAGGTGTTAACTGGGTGATCTGCCTCTGCGCAAGCAAAGCACATCTCTCCTACACTGAGCTGCGCTGTTGCTTAGGTTGAGGGCTTTGCTTTATTTTTATGAAGCCTAGTTAGTGATATTTTTTTTAAATAGTCCTGAATGTGGGACAGTTGATTAACTTTCTAACTAGTTCACTTTGGAAGTGAATTCAGTCAAAAAGCTTGAGAAGTGCCCAAGTGGTGTTTAAAGGTAAAGCACAGCTTGTAACTTGGTGTGTAGTGACCTCTAGCTGGTTTGGGATGGATGGAAGGAGGCAGCCTGAGCCTCTTAGGCTGTTTTTCTTGTGGGATGATGCTTTTTTTTTTTTTAAACCAAATATTTGACTCGTTCTTCTCATGTATGAACGTTAATCCAGGAACTAACCTCCTCCATGGAAAAGGTACTGTTAAATGGCCTGGGTGCTGCCTGTTCCAGTGCGAGCTGCCGAGGGTCTCTGCTGAGATCTGCGGGGTTTGTTTCAGAAGCACAATGTTTGACAGCATTCTGCAGTGATGAGGGTCAAGCATGGGAAGCTCCCTCCAGCCAGGTGGCTGTTGCTCTAACGTGGCACAAAAACTGTTTATCCTGGAAACCTTTGCAGCCAAGTAAGTGACTTGATACATGGAATCCAAAAGATTATTAAAGGTTGGCCTTGTGCATCCGCTGTAACAATTTACCTGGTGTGTAAATTGAATTACTGACCACTGCCTGAACTGAGGGGATATGAGTATTTGCACAAACGGAGCTCAGGACAGAATTTGCGTTCATACCGCAATGGAGCCTGCCCCGGTCTTTTTTTTCCAGTGTTGGCGCCTGGGCCAGTCTGCGGTGTCAGGGACCACCGCCTCGGGCATGGTGGCCTTGCTGTGGTTCGTCTGTGCTACCTCCTCCATGGTAGCCTCCAACTTGGCAAAATACGCTGCTGGTTACTTGCCCAGAGGCCAGCCCACCCACTGGATGGCTCCAGCAGCATCCTGCATGGTGATACCCTACCCAGTGCCCCCATTTTGGTGAGGGAATCCTCTCCTCATGTTTATCTCATTCCCTGGACTTCCATTTTAAGAGTGTAGGATGGGTTTGTCTGAGTCTAGCGTGTGAAATCCCATCATTGTGGGGCTGCTACAGCCTCTCTTGAAATAGTCACTTGTAATTATTTAGTTCATGCTCATGGATGGGTGCAGAGCTCTTCTGCTGGGCTCTGCCTCATGCCAGGTCACCCGTGTTGTGCTGAGGACAGTGGCTGGGGACCCCAGCTCAGCCATGGTGACTGGCATCATTTACTGCAAGTAAGAAGAAAAAAAAACTTCAGTGGTGGTGTGTGGGTGTTTTGGGTTATCCTGTACCTAAAGAAAGGATTTCAAGTGCCAATAACTCCATCTTACCCACGTAGCTGTGCCCTGTGACTCTGCAATCTTGTGGGTGACGGTAGGAAGTCAGAACCAAATCCGCAGGTTGGCAATGCTGAAGTGTCCTGACGGATCCCGGCCACCAGGTCAGCCCTGGGCTTTTCAAGGAGCTCTTGAGTTCTCTGCTTCTCGGGCATTTCTTCCCCATTTGCCAGTGCTGGGCAGTACCAGAAGGGGCTGTTCTTGAGGTGACCCACCAGCAGCGCTGCTGCGTCGGGAAGGTTGGAAGAGGGGCAAAACTGATTGGGGAGTTGAAGTCTTATTTTCTAAAAAAATTTTTTTAAAGCTTTATATAAAGAAAGAAAAAGCAGCAGATGGGCACAACCCAATGCCAACGCTGACGTGAACTGCCTTTACTTTGCAGCTCTAGAGTTTTGCTGTGCTGTGCCCTGAGTCCCGGTGCAGCTCTGGACTTTGTGTCTGCAGAAGGCCGTAGTTAGCAAAGGGAACGGTTCTGATAGCCGGGATGGAGCAGCAGCCTGCCAGGTGAGAGCACAGAGGCCTGCAGGCCTCGCTTTGAAGAGGGAAAGGCCAAGATGAGGGAGGATCAGCCCCGCTGTGAGCTGGAGGTGGCAGCACGTGTCCTCTAGAGGTCCCTTCCAGCCCAAATTTATTTGTGATTCTGTTACAAAGCCCGACAGCCGTGGATGCCGACCTGTGAGTGCAGGTAGTAAACTTCTGGAATTTGTTGCCCCAGGTTGTTGAGGCAGATGGTATCAGCAGAAGGGTTTGGGGTTTGTGTTTCTTGGTTTGGGGTTGGTTTTTTTTAAAAGGTAAATTCATGGGGAACAGAGCCATAAGGAATTTCCAGGGGGGAGAAAACCAGAATGAAACCTCTGATGTCCATAATCTGGTGGATACTGGGCAGAGGGAGGGGAACAGAGAGCGGAAAGCATGTGTGGGCACTGCAAGTGGTGCTTGCAGCGAGACAGCAGGGCGTGAGGGTAAGCTGGGCACTGGCTGGTTGTGTTGCCACCCCTTTGAGAAATGCGGCGTTGGCCAGGACGTGGGCAGGACGAGAGCTGAAACCCAGGAGAAGTTTGTCCCAGGGAGCTGGACACCACAAAAAGGATGGCACCTTGGAAGACATGGCAGGAGGAGCTGTCTCCTCCTGAAGTGCATGAGATCAAAGCCAGCTCTGGAAGGTGAGATTAGAGAACAGAAGAGCAGAAATGGAGTCTGTACTAATCTTTTCAGTATCAAACATGACTTTCAGCAGAAGGGATATTGGACAAGCAGGAATCTACGGCCAACCTGGGTGTGGGACGCCTGACTCTGCAGTGGGTTGTTCAGAATATCAAAAGGGAGACGGTTACAAGACAGAGGAGATGAAGCAGTGTCCCAGCCACGCACTGAGTGGCCCGTACGCAGCCCAGCGAGTGAGGAGCACCCATGCTGGGGCTAAAGCTGGGACCGCTGCAGTGGCAGTGAGGTAACGCTCTGCAACCCCCCGGCACACCACCCGCCCAGCACCCCTAAAGCCACCTTTCTCGCAGGTCTGGCACAGAGCAGCTCCCTTGCAGCCTCCAGGTAAAACCGATCCTGGATCCAGGTGAAAAGCACAAAACAAGACACACAGCCCAGGACAACTTTCTTTATTGCTACCAGAAGGCTTTCATGGTACAATGGCTCCGGTTACGATACCTTCCTCAGGGCTGCGGAGAGAGCTTACAGTTGGGACAGGTCATTCTGAGAGACAGAGGTGGAACATGTAAGAGACAAGTTTTTAAAGGTTTTACTCCTGGTTAGAAGTTAGATGAACACAAAACTTAGGGTTTTAGGGTCTTTTGGTTTGGTTTTGTGGCTGGGAATCACACACCTTTCAAAGCTCAGGTGGACGCAGCCGCCCCAGCGCCTCACCAAACAGTGCTGCATGCCTGCTGAGCTCGCAAAGGTATGGGGAGAAACAGACGGCAGAATTCAAGGTTTACACTTGACATAGAGAGTCAAATATTGGTGAAAATCCACACTGAGTGCAACATTTCTTGGTGCAAACAAGGAAAAAATACCAGTTTTGTTCAAGTGACAGAAAATCCGTTAACAGCTTCTGTGTTCAAAAATGCAAACTGTGTTACCTTGGAGCAGCCTGGGTGTGAGGCACAGAAGGCAGTGGCCGGCTGCCCTGGTGTTCTAGAGAACGTTCACGCTCCCGTGGTTATTACTTAAGTGGGGGGCAGTCTGCAAGCATTGTTTTTGGTTTTTTTTCCTGACTAACCTTTTATTTAAATCCTGTTTAAAAAATATTATTACACTGAAACACCCAAGTGCTAACAAAACAAAAAAGGTCTTTTTCTTTAGGAAGAAAAAAGAAAGCTGTCGTGAAGGTCAGGTAGTACAGAACATCATGCACGAGACTTGTTGAGAATTAAAAGAGGAGCAAGCAGAAGAGGAGCAAGGAGCAGATGGAAATAAGATCAGAGAGGTGTTAGTTGGCTGGGAAACCTGGAACAACTGCACGACTGATGTGAGCTCTGGGACATGGAGAATGGGCTACAATACAGAGGAGCAGGAAAACAGTGGAACGGACAACACTAGAAAGAAACAATTTTTTGCTACTTTTTTTGTTTGGTTTTTGGGTCTTTTTTTTAGATTTTTATACTTTTTTGTGTTTTTAAGTGCTTAAATAGTGGAACTATAATTAGCCGCACAAGAAAAAAATTCAGAAAAGGGTTGGGAATTTTTTTCTCTTTTTTTTGACTCCCTTCAGTTCAGCCTGAGAAGGTATGGCCCCTTCTCCCCCCACCAAAAATGCAGGGTGCCAGGTTCTGCATGGCTTCTAGAGCAGCCGTGGTGGAGCAGGTGGTGTGCGCTCACAGCTACATAACAGACACTGGCTGCAAAGGTGGACACGGGGAAACGCTGCCCTCCTGCCTTGAGACATCAGCGCCACAAACAGAGCCCATGTTTTCAAGAGCCACTACCTCTGGAGCAATGTCTTCGTTGTAGAGACGCTTGATACCATCGTAGAAGTCGTCCACTTCCATCTCTTCCACTTTGCGCTTGGCAGAGGCTTGCTTGCAACCGCTGGGAGCTGGCAGACGCTGGTAGAGCGCAGCTGTACCTGTGACTGGCACTTCTGGCCTGCCGTTGTCCTTGGAGAAACCCGGCCCTGGGACAGAGGAGGGCTGGCGTTTGAACGCTCCTCTGTTACAGGTCACCAGGGTCTGCTGGAGGGGACTGTAGACATATACAGAGTTGGGCGGCAGAGAAGACTGCAGGGTGGAAAGGTGATGTGCCACAAGCTCCCGGCAGTGGATCAGCTGTGAGCTGTCCATCTAGAGGGGAAGACAAGCAAAGAGAGCGGCGCTGTGGGGTCACTGCTGCAGGGAGGAGAGGCTGTCCCTCGGGCCAGGGCTAGCGCTCTGAACACATGGGCCACCCCTGCACCTCACTTCTCGATGATATGCTGGATGCAGGAGAAAGCGAGTGGTAAAAGAACCAAAAAAAATCCCCATGTGATGACTTTGTAAGATAGGGACACCTGCTCCTTCTCACACCTCATGGGAATGGGGGACACACATACCCCCACCTTTCAGATATTAAAAGGTCTCACTGCATCAGGGCACACAGCTCCTCCCTTTGTCACCTACTGGCTGCAGTCAGGATTAATGCTCTGCAGAACTGTCTCAACAAACTGTCCCTTCAGGCACAACCATCCTCGCAAAAGCGTAACTGCAAGTGGAGGTCAGCAGCTGTGGATCTGAAAGCCCGGCTGGCTTGGATCCCTGGAGCCCTGAGTGAGACGCAGTCTCCTGCGGCCCCCAGCCCTCCCTGCCGCAGCGGTGCCCGCACCCCTCACCTGTGCCTTCTGGAGCAGCTCGATGATGAGAGCCAGCCAGTCGGGGAGCAGCTTCTCCAGCTCCAGGCTGACGATGGCCAGCGCCAGCATGGAGCCCTTGAACTGCAGCAGCTGGTAGCAGGCCATGCAGTGCAGCAGCTGCTTGGTGAGCGCTGCCACGTGCTGTGAGGGGCTCAGCTGGGGCAGGACGGTCGCTAGCTGAGGCCTGTTGGACACCGCAACTGCGTGGAACTGGGGGGAAACAAGCACGTGAGGGAGCTGGCGTCACCCATGGGCAACCCCCCAGGCAGAGTGGGGTCAGACCTCAAGAACAGCATGTGACGTGTCTGACGTACAAGGATCCTCTACCTTAACCTTCAAGGAAATTTCTACATCCTAGGGAAAAAAACCCAATGCACTGAACACAACAACAGCTTGGTGTGGCCTTTCTGCCAGAGCCTGCCATCACGCACTTCATCTGCCTGGGGTCCAAAAGGCCATCCCCTTCCACCCTTCTCCCTCTACAACACAGTCTTGGCGATTCAGCTGTCCCAGACAAAAACTCCTTCTCAAGCAAGCAGAGAAGATGAAATTCAACAGAGAACCTCAGGGTGCTTTCTCTTTCTCTCATCTCTGGCCACACCTTTCTGTAGCAAGTGCTTGCTCCTTGGCTCTACTTACTGTTTTGGTGCTGCCTGGCATTTACCTTTCAGCAAAACCACTAGCAATTAAAACTTGGGGCAAGGTTTTCAGGAGCTGCGAGGCTTAGTGTGTGGCTTGCCATGCCCCTAAACAGGCCAGGCTGTCGGATGGCGGGGCCCGTGTTTTGGAAATTGTGCCCGACGTGTCACAGGTTTCCTCTGAAATTCTCTGGCAAGGCTTTTTGTTTCAGAAACTACTTGTATGGAGGAATGGTGAACGCATCCTGACGTCTTCACTCCTCTGCAGGTATGGTTTTTGTCTGGGCACCACTCAATACATACTCTATACCAAAAGACACCAGAAAGAAGGTAAATAACCCCTTACAATATGAAGGAAATCCAGTGGCGTTGCCATGTGAAGATCCCAGTTCAGTTTATCCAGGATAATTTTCTCCATTCTGCGAATTTCAGCTGGAGAACAACCACAAAAGCTATCCCGAGCCAACACCTTTAGTACTGGAATCCTCTGCAAAAGCCAATGCAAGAGAGAAATGAGAGAACTAGTCATTCTGAAAATCACACAAAATGTTTCGCTCCTGTCCTGGCGAGCGGCAGCCACCATGTGCAAGCAAAAGCAGGACTGGAAGAGTGTATATTCAGACAATGCTAAGGTAGTCAGAACAAAAAGATTACCTCATCTTCCTCAGTGGTTTTTGCAGCAAGGAAGAAGCAGCTGATTGCAATACAGTTCAGGTACTTTGGATGGGCCTAGGACACAGAAGAGCAGAGAAGTCTGTGTGAATGCAATTCAAAATTTATGCATAATCCCTTCTAGTGGGACATCCTGAGCCCCAGGGTCTCAGCTGCCCATGCAATGTGTTCTGCATCAGCAGGCTGACCTCCAACTCTGCCACGGCGCTGGCAAAAAATCCATACTCCGTGACGTAAGGCAGAAGAGACATCTGCCAGCCCCGGGATTGTAACTGGCACCCGCTGATGTGCAGTGCTGGAGTGCAAAGAGCTCATTTATTAGGTGCTGCAGTAGAAATAGGAAGGAGAAAACCAGAAGGGCCAGATTCTCATCTGGCACAAAATCACCTGCCACTCCACCTGCTGTAGCAGAGCTAGGCTGCTAGTGCTCATGGGGGTCAGACACACACTAGGATGGAAAAGAAGAGAATTTTTAAAATCTATCCTTGTCTAGGGAAGTGTAAAACACCCATAAAAATCTCTAGTAATGTGATTCATACTGCCATTCTCAAAACTGGCGCAGGGATTATGGAGGGAGAGCTGGTCCCTTCTACAGTGTGTTGTTTTAGGCAAGTTAAGTGGAATTTGGAGGGGAAAGGGTGATTTTTCATTTGCATCAAGGATTCCTTTTATGGACCTCGGCTGGAGGGGTGGCAGGGAAGCAGCACCCAGGGGCTGTAAGTGTTCAGACTGTCCCTGGGATAGCCCGGACTAAGCCCACGCTCTGAATATGGCGCACTGGCTACAGTTCGGTTAGTAGCAGTCTTTGTTAATGTGACTGTCTGACAAAGGACTTCACTTCTAACATCGCTGTAAAACCTCTTCTGTCTATGCGTCAGGAGATGCTGAAAGCAAAGGTAAGTGAAAATCCTGCAGCCAACTCAAGGCTGGGGATTTCAGGTTGAGCCATGGTTTGTTCAGTTACTTGCACAGGAGCAAAACGTGGCCCGAGCACGGTGTGGCAGACGTACAGGGACAGAGGAGCAGCAGCTCCCAGCTGCAGTAGCCCAAATGCTGATTTTTAACTTGTCTCTTTTGAACAGTTTCTGTGGTGCACCGGCCTTAAACCAAACAGCCGAACACATTCTCTGCTCTGTTCAGTACAGCGGCCTGGGCAGCCTCTCTCTTCCACGGCGTGCACCATGCCTGCTTACCTCCTTTCCTCCCTCCCACCCGCCTGCCTGATGACATCAGCCTTTAGCTCTCAGTCTGTCAGGCTGCCTGCAGAGCAGGTTAGTAGGGAACAGCTTCTCTCCCCAAAAGCAATCGTCTCTGGCACTATCTTCCCCCATTTTTTTCCCATTTCCTGGCACTAGCACACCTGCCAGGCCCAAACCTGTCCTCAAACGCTTGTTTCCTCCAGCTAGTTCACTGCTAGCAGGTGCTCACAGCAATTCTAGGTGGTTCATATGAGATTAACTGCAGTTAGAACACCAGAGAGATTAAGAAGCGAGCAGGGACTTTCCCTCGCTGTTCTGTCGAGGGCCCTGGGCCTAGGTTTCTGCCTGCGGGCTGGCTGGTGTTTCCTCCAGCTTTGTAAGTCCGGGGAGGGTCGAGGCTGTTCTCTTTTTAACTAAGGCACGAGCTCTACACAGATTCTTTTTTCTGATTGCTGGGACAAATTCAATGTTCAAACCAGGTTAAAAGCAAGCATGTAGCTGAGGAGGAAGGGTGCTTCCTTTCTCTTGGGTTAATATAAATTTAAAGTATTAAGCTGCATTACATGGAGGAAATGGCAGAAGAGAGCAAAGAGGGAAAATATTCTTGGCAGGTATTAGCACTGGGGTCAGTTCCCCGAGAACTGTCTGTTCTTATTAAAGCAATAGCTACTGCCCCCGGGGGAAAAATGCCTACTGAAAGAATCTACCTCCCAAAGAGGCTGGCGGCAGTGTGTGCTGCCAGTTCAACAATTCAAAATTCCGATCCTGGAGTAGCACAGGGAGCATCCTATGCATGTGTGAGAAAGGAAGAGGGTGTGAGAGCAGAGGGGGAAGGAAGTGTTCCTGTACAGCCGCACCGCTCGGACTGTACACAGAAATAGCAGAGTGGGTGGTTGAAATCTATTTCAGTTTATATATCTGCAAATATTTACCTTTACTGTGGCTAAAAACCTGTCCAAAAGGCTGATGGCCAGGGCGAGCGTTTCTGGATAAAGGTGGAACTGGTATTTGAGCTTCCCCAGCCACTGAATGACCTCATCCCTCTGTTTCGGAGAAATGGCTGCATCCTGTTGGAGAGAAAAGCAAACTATTCTTATTCACAGGCTGAGCAAGTCCAAAAAGACCAAACGTTTTACCTCTGCAGAAGATATTGAGCATGGAAACAGCCTTCTTTGGAAAGGGGGGGCCTCACGCCAGCCTGAGTCTGTGTTCTTGCAGCTACTTACCCAAGATACCTGTCCTGAAAAGACAACTTTCGTTACAGCAACCTCAGACGTGTTGCTGTACATTGGGGAAAAGGAAAGATGTCTTGTAGTTTCTTCAGTCTCCTCCATCTGAGCTCTGAGAGATTTATTTATTTATTCAACCTCCTTAGAACCACACAGATAGCCAGGAAAAGCCAGCTTCAGCAAAACCAGACGTGCTCTGGGAGCCAGGTGGGTGCACAGCTCCTGACAAACAGAGTGGGGAAGGACTGAGTTGGTGTTTTGAGAGGAAAGGTTTATTTTCCTTCAAATTACAGGGATAGTTTTAGCTTAGAATATGTTTTTTTTTAAAAAAAAAGAAAATTCCAAACAGTTTAGAAACCACCTTTAGCAGTAGAGTTAGCTGTGAACTCGAGCTAAACAGGTACAATTTCACCTAAGAACAGTTGGGTTTGGGTTGGGTTTTTTTAAAATTGTTTGGCCCAAGTCACCACCATTGATCTGTTTGCACAACAGCTGAGTTTCAACCACAAGCGCACATCAGTCACAGACATAAAATCTTTCTGACTTCTTCTCTGAAATATTTACAGCTTTTCTAGAGCCTTTCTATTCAGCCAAGTAACTGTCTGGCCTCACTTCAACCAGGGTCGTTTTGGGTGATCAGCAAGGAGGTGTCTAGAAGCAAGAAGTGAAACCATGCTACTTCCTTCTGCTGTGCTCAGGGTCCTTGTGCTCTCTGCAGCAATTTGGCTACTGCTGAGATGGTTTAAGAGAAAGAAACAGACAAAATGCTGGCTGCCCAATTACTGTGGAAAAGAAAGCAAAGGGCTTGCACAAACAAAAATAACTGCTGGGCTGTAGCTGTCCTCTCAGCTATAACACTGGGGGAAAGTAGCACAATTTTAGCAGAACACACAACGCTGATGCAAAATCAGTATTTCAGGTTACATTCATCACCACAGCCAACACTGTGCTTTGTTGCAGGTCTGCTGCCTCTCCTGCCTTGAAGCTGAGAGCATCTGTGAAAGCAGAGTGTTGTAGGCAGAACTGTAATTACTGTAGGGCCTCCACGAGGACAGCAGCTCCACCTTTCATTGTTTTTTACAGTATGACATCTTGACTCTGTGCTTGCACTTCCTTACTGGTGCTGAGCTCCGCCTTCACCACCCAGTGGGATGGAAGGTGGCAGGGCTCAAGCCCCAGGGCTGAGTTTGGGCTCTGCGACGTGGGTGCACAGCCAGTTACTGCTGCTCATGGGCACGAGTCTCGTCAAAATGCCGTCACCCAATTCTCTTAGAAAAAGTACAAGAGCACTAACGTGACTGCAGCAGAGACCTAGCCTACAGGCACGGGGTTGTGTGATCAAAAGCTGTGTCTGCCAGCTGTGCTGTCTGGGCTCACAAAGAGAGACTACCTCTGCCTGCGCGACGTGCCTCCAGTGCTGTGTCAGGGGCTGCTCTGAGGAGAACAAAGTCCTGCCTTGTTTTCTCTCCTGAAGCCCTGACGGTGCAACGGCGTTGGCAGGACTGCGTGTCTGATCCAGGTGGGTCTCTAGTCTCAGCTGGGACTTCTGCGTGCCACTTGGCTATAGGGTGGCTTTTTAAAAAGCACCTACCATTTTTGAGGAGAGAAGATAAAATTAGTTTCCTCAATTCTAAGAAATAATGATTCTTTCTAAAATAGTTTTTATAATTCAGGGGTGAAATGTGAGCCCTGCTGTGTCTGTGACGCGTTGCACTCCTTCCAGGAATGCTAGCTCCACATGCACTGGGAGCGTAGTGAATGAATGCAACACGCTGCAGCGAGGAGTTTATTAAGTGCTCTGCTAATAACATCTTCTTTGGGATTGTGAGATAGGGGCCTAGTAAAAAAACGGGTAACACAATGTTCGATATTGCCTGTCCCTATAGAGCGTTCTCCAGTAGCAACACACGTCCTGCCCAGCTGGGCCTGAAGCAGCCAGAAAAGGGAGGATAGCAGTTACGCCAAAGTTCTTTATTGCTTTATTCACTGCACCCGTTTTGAAATGGAAGGAGACAAAGCCATACAAAAGGGCTTACAACCACAGCCAGGTTTGGACTGTATTGTGGACTTAGAAGGGTTTCAAGTAGCTTAAAGGATTATTTTGGAAATGCAGTGTCTGGGTGAATCCAGCAGGTAAGCTCTGCATGCGCCTGCTAAAAGCCAACCTGAAACCATCCCATCAGACAAAATAAACATCACTTTAACAACCCGCCTCTGACTCTGAAATCACCGCCCTGGTCCTGCCACAGCAGCTTTACCAGCGAGGCCAGCAGGAAAGGACTGGGGCCCTTGGTCAGCAAGGGGAGAGCTGCAGCATCAGCGCTGTACCCAGGGCAGCAGCCTCTGCGTCCCCTGCGCTCCTTCCTGCTCTGCGACATCTGCTCTAGTGGAGGGAGCAAAAATGGCATCTGCTGTGCTCCTTGCCGGGGAGGGAGGGCCGTGCCCCTTTCCTCAGCAGCAAGGGAGGATTTCCCCATTCCCGCTAGATCTCGGCAGAAACAGGCACCGGCTTCAAGAGCTCCCAGCCTGGCCCGGCTCAGCGCTGGGCTCCTGCGCCTGCCAAAGGAAAAGGTTAGGTCTTCTCCTAAAAACAGCAGCAGGGGGGAGGGTGAGATCATCTTTCTATGCTGCCTCTCGGCCCCTGGTCTTCCCAAGATGTGTCTATGTCTTCTCACCCTTCGCAGGCAGTTGGAGGACAAAAGGAAAAATTTTGGCCTCAGGAGTTAGCTTTAAATGGTGAGGCCATAATGTAAAGCGTACCAACTGTACACTTGGTCCTGCAACAGCTGATGTGAAAAAAATGAGGTTTAATCTAAACCACTGGAAAACAACAGTGTATCTAAGCAAGATATCAAATTAAAACAAACAAACCCAGCCCCCACACGGAGCACCGTGTTCCTTTAACATGAAGGAGCAACTGCAAGGTGAGCTCCCATCTAGGTATGCACAGCACCTAAGTAAGGCTTCAAAAGGAAAGCTGGCGTCTTCAGAACCACCTCGGTGGAAGCAAAGGGGGGACTCCCCAGCTCTTCCGCAGTACCATCACTCCTAGAAGAAGTTTGTCTACTCCAGTCTCTAACCGCAAATAAAGGTGCACAAGGATGGGGGGCAGGGATTTCCTCTCCCAGAAGGCGGCAGGTGAGTTTAAAGCTCCCATCAGCACTAGGAAAGCTCATCACAGCCCCTTTTAAGAGACAGGCAGAAGGAATCACAGCTGGTCCCACTGCACCCTCAACCCCTGCTGCTGCTTCCAAGCAGGCTGAGGAGCTTCCCCCATGAATAGATCTGTCTTTATCCCTCTCCCTCGAAGGTGTACCTATGTCATCCTAGTTACACCAATCAGAAATGCAGCACAGTAAAATTAATTAAGCAGTGAGGTCATTACTCCTTAGTTATATAAAATTAAATGCAGAACTGACACACGATGGTGGCTGAAAGTAAAGTCCCTTTGGGCTGGAAAGCAAAAGTTCCTCTTTGGTGTGGCGGTACTTTCCTTCTGCCACTCACCCATCTGCGTGCGGCCAGCTCTTTGTTTTGTCGCCACAAATCCACCCCTGCAGAGCTTAACCCCTGGGGTGGATGAGCACGAATAGCCTCACGGCTTTAATTAGGGAAAATTAATCCAAGCCCAGCAATGGCAGGCTGCCTTTTCACCCAGCCCCCAGCAGCAGCAGGCTGCTCCGAGCCAGACCTAACAATCGCCTTACGGACCGAGGGATGAGCTATTTCCTCTGGCTGGTGCTTCCCCGCCTTTGTTTTTTCAGAAGGGAGACCAGACCAGAGCAAGGCCTAACCTACAGATCTAGTTGCCTGTCCCGGCACCAAAGGTTAGCAGATGCGTGCATGACTTGTGCTGTTAAAAAAGTGACCGCACTCCCAGCTCTTCACCACGGTCGCTGCTGGGACCAGGGTGGCACTCACCCTGTGTGACTGCGGGTGCCCAGGACCCCCAGCTGCTGCGGGGGCACGCTACCTGCCCCCCTCCCACCACAGCCGTCGCAGACCGAGCCCGTGCAGGTGCCTGAGTGCTTTTCCCTGGATATTTGCACAAGGTGCCGCTCAGCTCGCCCGCAGCAGGAAGCCAGCAGGCAGCTGCAGGAGGGATCTCCGAACCATTTTCCTGTGCAGGAAACACTCCGTGGAGCACAGGCAGGACTCCTGCAACGGTGCCTGACAGAGCGTTGCTCAGAGTTTTGCCATCTTCTCTTCCAAGCGGAAGACATGATGCTCGTTCCCACCTTTTCGGAGCGTAACTGTGTGTGTAAACCCATCGGTTCTGTTTCAGCATGAACACAAAAAAGCCACCTTGCAGACCTGTGGAGCTAACAGAATGCATTTGGGACACAAACGGGGAAATGGGGAAGCGGAGGGATGTCAGCTTCTCTTCCTTGCGTAAAGCAGGGGTACATCACATTGACCAGCTTCCTGCAATTATTTGCTTGATTCCTTATGGAGAAATATCCCATCTGCCGCTTACTCTGTGGATGAACGTGCCTTTAGCTGCTGTCAGCGAACAGGAGGCTTCTGTGAAGGATTCCAGGCAGGTATTTTAGATAACGTGACACGAGGCCAGTCAACGGGCCGGGACCGAGTAATGAAATGGCAGCACCATGCTCCCTGCATCTGTCATTTTACTGCTCCAAAGTGAGCAACCAGAGAGGTGAGTAATGCTGCCCACGGGAGGGAACCAGGGCCCCACAAAACACACAGACCCGAAACTGCCAGTGTCTGTGATGGGTCATATCTTATTTGACTGTTTCTCAAATCAGGGCCCGAGACCCCACTTCTTACGTGTTCTGTCAGAAAGCTGCCCCTGAGGCCTTGGTGACGGCGAGAGGAAGGCAGGGCTGTGGTTCTGCTTCTCATTTACTGGCACCCGAATCGCCCTGTTCCCGTCTCTGACCCCGCCACCCTGCCTCGGGGCCTGCTGCACTAGACAGGAGGGCTGGAGGCCGTGACTCGGGCTCCAGAGCACCAGCACGGTACAAATCGTCTCTAAGAATACCGAGACTCTGGGAAAATGCAGTCTACAAAAATATTATCTGTGAACTCAAACATGACTCAATTTTATTGCTGCCTAATCTAGGAAAAATACCTTGCCTGATAATTTTTTTTTCTTTAACGTCTCTTGTCCCAGACAGAGATGTTTCGCTCTTTCCCCCATTTGTTCCTGCCTAGTCCCACTGCGGGCTCCTCGGAGAGCAAGCAGGTGACCTCTATCAGGACTGGGAGGCTTCTGAAATGGGCAGCTGTAAACATTGCAGCCAAATCAAAACTGGAAATAAACTGAGGTCTCCCAATTCCTCAAGAGGTACAGAGAAAAAACAGGAAGACAGAAAGAAAGAAATAGAACAGGAAAGAAAGAGAAATGATAGAAAGTGACACTGTGTTTCTGTAAAAAAAAAATAAAAATCTTGGCTTACACACCTCTCTGCTGCAAAGTTACTTGGTAACATGCAAAAAAAACCCAACCTTTGACCAGTCTTTACTGCTTGATTTCTCAAGCCTTAATCACATGAAAACTTCTGAATGTCACCTGCATATTGTATAACCAAAGAGAAGAAAAAAAGGGGGGGGAAGACCAAATACATTCAGGAGCACTAGGAGGGTGCTGGACTCAGCCCACCTGTTTTCCAGGCTGAAAAGCCCCTGTGACACCTGGCTTCGATAGATGGCAAATACCGGGAGCCAGTGGCCTACATTTAAAGAAGGGAAACTAAAAGAAATATACACGCCAGTAGGAAATGGGAGTTTTCAGACAAAAAGTGAAAACAAAACAGACACATACATTATCAGGACCAAACCCTGTACTATAAATGTAAAGTCTTCCTCTTTCTGTAACTACGAGTTTCTTTCTCCCTTTCAAAGATCTCAACTCTGACGCATATTTAAAAACTGAATTTGCTTTGGTTTTAAACACCAGAACAAAAAATGTGTCTCCTATAGAGTCAAAACTGGAAGTTTACTCCTGAGAAACAGTTATGGTGTGCCTCCAATCTGATCAGTAGATGTTTTGTAGACGCACTCACATTTTCTGATTTGCAAACCAGATGACTTCATTAAACCCTCTTCTGTTGTCAGCCTACCTTTGTAGCAAGGAATGGAAAGTTACACACGCTTCGGGCTGCCAGATCTGATACAGAGAAGGATGCAGATTTCCTGACTGTCATGGGAAATAAACAACCATACAAGGGAGGTTTTAGGCTAACACAGCTGTTTTCAAAAGAAGGCAGAAGATGTTAGGGAATATGACCTTCTTCCAGATATTACAGAAAATAGGATAATTCACACTGCCCATCCGTGACGGCAACACTGCAGAAGTGGAGGAACACGACAGACTGAACAGTCGAGTGTCACGAACTGTAGGAACAGAGAGAAGTATTTTACGTGACTACAGATAGAGCATTTTCAGCTGCACCGTGGCACTGCAAGTCAGGAGCTCCCCAGAGCACATAGCTGTGTTTATGTTCTCTTTTCAGCCTGACCTTTGTACATTTTACACACACGCACACAGCGATCTCAATCCAATTTAATGATTACTTACTGCTAGAAATGCAATACTACGGCATTCTAGCTGATAAAGTGAATGTCTGACCTGACATGTAGGAAAACATAAAGAACAAGGTTACAAAGACGACATGGGTTTGGGGGTGAGAATTCCCAGAGCAGAAAGCCTGGGGGACAGTCACAGAGGGCCAGGAAACACTTCCAAGCATGAACCTCAGTGCTATTACCAAAGCACAGGGGAGGAGAGGGGGAGAGACCCTTCATCGTCATGACATAATCGCACACTAAAAGGACAAACTTGGTATTCATCCAGGCCAGAACTGAGTTTGTCAAGCACAAACTTTGCACTGGGTTTAGCCATCAGAATGTTTCCCTACTTGATCAGACTCAGGCTTTTCACAGCGGGCACCAGAGCTGCCTCCCCGTTTCATATTCGGCAGATAGCTGACAGTCCCAGTAACTTCCCCAAGTATCTACCACTGAGCTCAACACCTCACGAGGCGCTGCGAACCTCAGCTGCAGTGCCCCTGAGGCTCCCTCAAGGTTCCTGGCAGCAGGACAACTGCTTTCCACCACAGACAGGGCTGAGGTTAGTGCTTCTGCTCCAGCGACAATTTGAACGTGTCACAGGTGGGAAACCTCATCTTCAAAGGGTGCCACCGCAATCCTGCAGGAAGGGATTGCTAGGGAGACTGTCCAATGCAGGTGGTAGTTTCTGAGCCACCAGAAACAATCTCATCAAGACAAAAATGCCAGGGCTTTGTCCCTGGGAAATCTTCACACAAGAATCTGGTTCAGTTACACTCTCTGAGTCCCTAACCTCTCTTGTTATACTGTAATCTTATCTCCCTACGCTATAATCACTAACCCCAGGAGTACTGCCAGCAAGGAACAGCAAGCTGGTTTACCATAAACCAGGGTCTTACATTGTACGCGGCCCAAAGACAGCCACAGCAACAATACCCTCAACACCACTGACAACCAGGTCACTTATTTGGAAACCTAGATGTGGATTAACAAAACTAATACTTGAGCCCCTTAAAAACGTATTTGTTCCTACAAAACAACAGCAGTTTCTCATTTGCCAGACAGAAAAACCAGCCACCACACTGATTAGCTTTGACAACAGCTGACATAACTTGTGTAAACATTTTATATGAATCAAGACCAGCAAGGCTGGATCTGAGCCCATGAGTGCGGTTGTTTCTGCCCACCCCAGCGACAACCTATCAGAAACTCTACAAAGTTAACTTGTTTTTCTAAACAACTGTCCTCAGGTTTCACATTTTGTTTTAAGCAAAACTTCGTGGGGTTCACAGGCATTTTTGAGTGCACGTGCTAGACAGATGCCTCCTCCGCAAGGAGAGCAAAGGCAAGGTAAGGCCGTGAGCAACCTGCTCCAACCTCCCCGCTGGCCCTGCTCCAAAACTTGAGCAGGAGGTTGGCCTACGGACCCCCTGTGTTCCCTTCCACCTTGAATTTTCCTGCAGTCCTATGAGAACATTCCTCACTGGAACGGGCCAGCACCTGGCTCTGCTTCCCTCGACACAAGCCTGCACCCTGCTCCATCACTAGTCCTATTCCAGTCCACGGGGTTCCTCCTGAAGGAGGCAGAGCCTCACCAAGGCAGATCCTCACCTGGCTTCAGCTGGTACAGCTCCAGCCGACCCTGCAGAACCAGGATGATTGCAGGAGGGAAGAATCTGGCTCAGGATGGGAAAAGGTGGCAAAATCAGGCTGGCTTTCGCTGTGACTATGCTGTCTCGGGGAGGCCTGAGCTAAGCCAGCAGTAACAGTTTATGTGAGAAGATGTCGTTTCATGTGGAAAGCAACTGGCATTTCAATGCTGTTATTAGTGGACTTAGTCCAAGAAAATGAAGCTGCTCTTAAGAACTGTTGCAGAGTTGTGTCCACTAGAAATTTGCTTTATCCACGCAGTTTGTAAAATGAATTTAATTAAACCAATGTTATGTGCCTGCTTTCACAAGCAACAGCAGAGATCTAACGCTGCATGCTGTACAGTGTGTGTACCCGATTGTAGGTGTGTCCCTCAAATAAAAAAGTAATCACTTCAGAGGCTAACTCCCCAGGTCTCAAGCAGAAGGTAACTTATCATGCAACAGCTTCAGCTGCTCACATAAAAATACACCAGAGGATACTCTCATGCCTTTACTAAGATGTGAAGAAGAGACGTTACCTGATTGGGCTGAATTTTCGGCACATGTGCTTTCCACATTTGAGCTTCCCTAGAGATTGCCGTCTCCAGAAGGAGAGACAACCTCTGGCTCTCCAGGGGTCCTGAAAACTTCATGGTAACCCTTGGATCCACCTGCCACCCAGCTGGATACAGCTACCTGCAAAACCAAAGACAGCCTGGTGAAATCCTGAGCCGTGCCCGTCCAGTAAACTGAGCAAAAGAAAGCGCGAAGGTGACTAAAGCTGCAAGAAATGGAACAGGCTCATCTGTAACACAGGCACTGATCAGGTACTTGGCAAACCTACCCGAGGAAACCCAAACCAGTCAGCTCAGATTCGGATGAAGCTGGGCCACAATCACCCACAGGTCTCCAGCACCTACACGGGCTGGGGCGTCCTGCCACTTTGAGGTTTTCTACTTCTCCGTTATGTAGGCAATCAGACAAGACCTCTCCCATTTCAGCAGTATACAAACTGTGGGTGTTTTATGAAAAATACTTGAGGAAAGAAGAGGGAGGAGCTGTATGGCAAATACAAAGGGGATTTCAGTCAAGCTGGTTGCCCTGGCCCAAATCTTGCTGAAGTTAAATTCACTCTACCTGTGACTTCAGGGGAAGTTAAGACTGACATTCAAGCATTTCTCCTAACTCCTTGGAGTCTGGTTTGTGCCAGCCTTCCCCCAGTACTCTCAGCAGCAACAGGAAGTTCTGTGCAACAGAGGAACGCTTGTTTCAGAATTTACATGATTTACAAGCTGAAGCCTGACAGAAAGATCAATGTTTTCCCCTCTCTGCACAGTATGGATTGTAGCTTCTCACAGAGCTACAACCTGGTCTGCGTGCAATGCAAACGTACCAGGGAGTTCAGGAAGGTTCCTCTCTGGTCTAATCACTCTGAAAATACGTTCGATCCACAAAACTTGAGGGCATATGTCTAATATTAGATAGGAAATGCGTTTTAAAGGAAAGAAGAAAGCAGCAAACCCAGTGACAGCCTTTGCAAAGCATTAACTGACTACAAGAGGGGAATTTCTGCAAGGCTTACGGTACTCAGAAACACTTGCTTCCAAGGCAGAAACGATGACTAAAAGCATGCAATTTAAAGCAAAATACCTTGCTACACACAAAATAGAAGAAAGGTTGTTCTCCTGGCCCTAGTACAGCCTCGCTCAGCAGTAACAATGTGTCAACAAGCTTCTAAATTTGAAATGAAAACCAAAGCGGACGAAAGATTGTATTGTTTTAAAGACAACAAATTCCACCCCATAGTTCCAAATGCAGGAGACCTGACTGAAAATGTCATTCGGATTGTTCTAATGCTGCCTACCATTACTCTGGCCGCAAATTTCTTGACAGTACTGAATCACTTAGGCAAAACAATTCAGCCCTGAAGGGTAAATCCATGGGAAAGTTATTTAAACTTTCAATTCCTTCTGTGAGCTCTTGTGAAATCTGAAACAGGTGGGTATTGGCCAAACGCGAAGCAGGCTACTTTATAAAGAGCAGTTTGCGAATACAACAGTTTATGCTGTATTTACAGGAGATAAGGTAACATTGAATCAGAGAAAATAAACAAAATTCACAGTGAAAACAAGCAGTTTTGTATAAATAATAACAGCAGCAGCTCTGAACAACTGAAGATTCAGAGTGCTTTCACAGACTGAAGGGGAAGTGCAGAATAAATATTTTTCTTTATTAATTTACACGGGTTTTTAATGGGCACAATTCACACAGAACCTGAACAAGACATAAAACCACACTCAAGTCCCACTTGTAGCCAAGCAGGTTTTAAGTGGCAAACATCAAGTCCAAACAGAAACCCCTCTTATATTAGATTTTTATAAAACAAATGCTTCTCCATGAACAAAGGAAAGGCTGTACTGGCTTGGCATGCCCCTACACAAAGCTTCCAGCCCGTCTGTAGTGACCCAAGGGGACTGGGGACAGATTTCCCGGCTGGAGGGAACACCTAGGATCCAGGATTCCTGAGGGCTCAAAATGCTCTGCGGTGTGTCTCAAAATCACCTCCCATCAGCCTCCAAATGGCCAAATGAGTATCAGCGTGGACTGAAAAATCCCGATTAAACGTTCCCCCTCCTGACAAGAGGGAGACTCTGCCTGGGAAGAGGCGAAACTACACTCCTCTAAACAGAACCCTGGTTTATTTAGGTGCTTTTACTCTTTTTTAAACCTTGGGATGATCCTGACGACCCTCATACCACCATAAACAGGGCCGCGGGTGAAGCTGAAACAGGGGTGCCCGGTCACAGCCTCCCCCCCCCACCTCACTCCCCCGGGGGCTTCATTAGCATCTCATTCTCCTCCCAGAGGCCACGACAGGTTTCTGTCTGGGCAGGGCTGGTTCCCAGGGGCCACCCACCATTTCCAGAGCCACCAGCACTTCCCAAGGAAGTGGAAAGCCCTGGGAAATGAGGACAGCAGCGATAAGGGCTGCACCTCCTGCACTGAGCCAATGAGCCCTTCAAATTGCAGGTGCAGGGGGAGCAGGGGAAATATTTTGTCCCCTCCGGCATGCGAGGGGAGCATCCATCAGAGGGACAGGAGTTGAGCTGGGGGACCCAAGAAACAATCCAGCACCCACATCAGGGAGTGTGGCCTTCCTACCTTACAACTCCAGAGCCCCAGAAAAGGGGTTTCTCCAGGCCAGTGCAGAGCAAAAGATGGGTGATTTTTTTTTTTATTATTTATTACTTAACTGAGCCTTCAGATGGTCAGTTGCTATGCACCGGGTAATGCTAACTGGGTAAAATCCAACAGGACAGCAGCTACAGCCTCGCATACCCTGGAGAAGAGGGCGATTAAAGGTGTTACACAAGTTGAAAGATACAGACACAGAGAAATAGGCTGAGGTTGGGATCACCCCCAAAGCTCGGCCAAGCCAGTGCAGAGGCCAAAGCTGGGGACCAGAGCGGGGAGATGGGAAGCTTCTCGCAGCACGCTTGTCAGAAAAAAAGCAGTAGCTATATTTAGCCTGACCACTGTCTCCTAATGTGAAATATTGATAGTCCTGTCTTGGTTTTGCAGGAGGGAGAGAGTAATTAGCCACCCCTCAAATCACTGGAGAAAACACATGAAAAATGCCAGGCCAAAGCACACATCCTCAGGCAACTTTTATTTCTGTTGTGACTGACAACCATTCCCACCCTATTTACAACACAAATGGATTTTTACAGGCTGCTGGGCCAAGAAAAGATGTTTTAGGGACCCTGATCCCTTTTTAGGTTGTCCCTGTACTGCCTGGGTGGGTCAGTGGCCTCAGCAGAGAGCTCGGGGGCATCCCTGGAGCACCCTCAAATACCAATGGCCCTGCAAGGGACATTTTTAGTGAGCAGCATGGCAACTCTTCTTGAGTTGTCAAGGGGAAAAGAGAGGGAAAAATAACCTCTCCTTTCTGAACTAGCGAGGTGAATCAGTGAGGGCTGAGGCACAATAATCTTTATAAGGAAAAAAAGAAGAATAATGACGCACTTGAAAGTTTCCCTCGGAGCAATGGTGGTGCGCAGACTTTTCCAGCACCAAGAGCACGCCAGGCAACTCGCCAAGCACCCCGAGGGATGAAACAAGTTTGCATCTAAATTTACATAGCTCTTAATCAGATAAATGCACGCCATCTTAAAGAAAAGGCCAGCCTCCTCCACATGTACACAGCGCTTCCTAAAAGACAAGGGAGCCGCTGCAGAGCAAGCACTGCTCAGAGAGGATGAGAGGTGGGATAGCCAGCACATGGAAGTTGGATGAGGACCACGGAGAGACCAGATTCTCTCTGCTCAGATCAAGATGATAAAACCTGAGCATCGCAGAAAAGCAAGGTCAAGGCTCCCATCAGCAGTCAGGACGCTTCTAAATGTAGCAGGCGTCTTTGCAGAGAACAGCAGTACCAACAGGAGGGCTGACCTGCCCCAACAGCAAAGATTTGCTCCGGCCAAAACGTGTCTGCATTTTTCTGCGATTGAGCCCAGGAGACCCACAGCTGGAGGAACTGCTGAAGCTGTGACAGCCCAGTGAGGCCACCATAAACTAACTCACCCTAGCTTTCTGCCTCTGTTTCCCTGATTTAAAATTAAACTTTAGCTCCAGGGCACTGTGGTGTGTTTTTTTTTCCCTGTGGTCACTTTGTGAGTTTTGAAACCACTGTTCAAACAGTCCTTAAAGTTTCTTAATCTTCACTAGAAGGTCAACTGGCACCACTGAAACTTCTTAAAGAATAGTTGGAAAGTCAGTAAAGGAGAAGCAAGCCAAGTCAACGCATCGGCTTTGTTCTGATGTCTCCTGTGAGCAAGGTCACAAGCTGCAGGTTGAATCTTGCTCTGAAATTAGAGAGTAAAATCTTTGGTGTGAGGTTTTCACTCGTGAGAGGCATTAAAAATCACCTGCTTATCCTTTAAAAATACCCTGACTTGGTCCATAAAATGTAACCCATCTCATAAAGATCTCCCTTTCTGATCCAAGTTTATAGATAACTTTACTTAAAGAGGTACTTTCAGTTTCCCTAGAGAAGCTGTAAGCTCTCCAGTGCTGCAGGCTACGGTTTTCAAAAGCAGTTTTGTGTTTGCAGTAATTGGGGCAGACAGCTACCTGGCCAGAAACACTTCTGGGGTTGGCAGGGGTTGTCTGTGCATTTGTGTAGGATGCAAAAGAGAAAAGAGTCGATTTTTTTTTATTTAGGCTTTGTAATCACTTGCACCAAGAGTAAAAGTGGCTCTTGCAAACAAAAGATGTAGTTACAGGGACATATTATCCCCTGGCAGAACAAGCCCCTAACACAGCTCCTGATTTTCCCCTGCCTCCAGGAGCAGTTCAGCTGTGCCAGTACAACTGCACTGTAAACAGGATCACTGAAATTATTCAGGGCAATAACAAAAACCTCTTTTGTTTTCTTTGTCAGTTGTTTTTTAACATAGATCATTTCATAAACAGTTAACAAGATTTGTAAGCCTAGACACAACCTAAAACCCAGTCTTTATTTTGTGCCTAAATGCAGATGGATATTCTGCAGGAGAGGGTAATCCCAACAGAGTTTAACCACCACATGCATTTCTGCAGACCTTGTAAGGATTTTTTCAGGGACCAGCAGCCAAATCCGCTTCAGCTTTAGCATGCAATAATACAATCTTACAGATGACCTGAAAACAGATTTTTCTG